CCTGTGCTCCCTCACTTGCATACTTACCTGGACGGTGCTGTGGGAGCTGCTTTCCACTACTGCTTGGCTGCCATGTGTATGTGTACGCACACATGAATGTGGCACCCCCTGTCTCTGATCGTGCTCCCCCTGGCCCAAAACAGCCCCTTGTAGGCTGGAACTCTGCTAGCCTGCAAGGGGAAATCTGCAGTTTTCTTCATTTTCCTCCTTTAAAGGAGAAAGAAAATCTATGTTTTTCTCTGTTAAAGGAGAAATTGTGTTTTCTTCTGCAGTGAACGGAGAACCTGGATTCCTGGTGATGAAGTTGTAGGTATGGTAGAGGTGGCTATTCATTTCTTATATAACAAGGCTTAAACAAACAGGAAAATCTCAGTGGTAGAAAGCACCCTAAGTAAAATAGAATCTCATCCATTTTAAACTCTTTATTTTCATCTGGTTAGGAATTACAGTTCTCATGTTTAATGTCACGTCAAAGGGTTTTATAGTTACACTACTTTGAATTGTCTGCTTCAAAAACTGCAGCCCCAATCAAATGTTTTATATGTGAATATGAAAAATCAAAACTTTCACAAAAGTTAACATGTTTCTTCAATTCTCATAGTTTAAATGGATTAGTTTCTAAATATCAAGTGCATGGAAAGATATGTCTTCAGTGAGGAGAGGGGCATGTATATGCATGTGTATCTGCGCGTGCATGTGATCATGCCTCTGATAGCAGTGAGGTAAACCAGCAAACTCTCCTTATGCCTGAAGAATGGTGTTTGTGCTCAAAAGCTTGCAAAGGACATTTGTTCCAACTATTTAGTTGGCCTGGAAAAAAAATAGCACATTTACCCAAATAACCTTGTCTGCCTGTGTCTTTAAACCAACATGTCTACAACCAACTACCAACTGATCTAGCCATAGATCAGTTTAGTCTTTTAAATTAGTCTGCCAGAGTTGGTCACTGAATGCCATTGGCAAGTTCAGCACTTTATATCTCAAAGTCTGCCTATGGCTAGACATCTTAATTTAGTCTATGAAAGCCCCCCACACTGCCATCTTTGTTCTTCTAATAGTAATCTAATCTCACCTTATAAACCATTTAAATAAATCCATTTTAATTAAGTACATAAATTGCTCTGCTGTAAGTATTGCATGTGAAAGCAAGTAATTCAGGATTCTCTAACAGCCATAGCTCTACTATTTACAATGAGTTACTCACCAAAGAGTAATGATTTGAACAACATCTTATATTTCAGGAGAATTTTTTTCTACATGCGGTTACCAAACCTTGCATCTCTTCCTTGTATATTTCATCAACATTGCAAGGTGATGAATAATCCATCAAACATTCCTAGATGGGATTTTTGTGGCATTAAGACGCAACCATTTTAGTGAGAACTTATTAGCATTATAGCTTACTTTCAGTTAAGCAGGTAGCAATGCCAAAAATGAAGGTTGCTGAATGGTCTGTTATAAAAACCTGTATTCCATTGCTTTTCACTTCGTCATCTTTAACTGTTTAGGTTGAACTGTGCTAGGTGCCTCCCTCTAGATGTATTTTCTTGGACATTTAAATGGTTCTACTGTTTTTAGAGAGAGAAGTTAGTGGAACATAATTTGCCCATGTCCAAAACGAAACAAAAAACCCGTATTTCTTTTGGAAGCTTAAGCATATTCATACTCTCCATGATTTGAAATTTAACTAGGTGGGTGTGATGAAGTTAGCATCTTCATGAAGTTTGGCAGACCTGTAGGCCTCTGAAAAATGCAATTTGTACACATTCAGCAGTGGTTTCTAGAGCTTAGTGTCAAAATGTCTAATTATTCCACACAGAATATTTCAGTCCCACAAAACTCGCATATGCTCCAGGCCATCTCTGAGCAGAATTCTTTTCTGAGCTGCTGTGGTGCTGGATACCAGAACTGAGAGCAGAGGAATTATCTCCATACTCAGAATACCTCCTGGTACCTAGACATTTTGGAAAAGGAAGAAGTAACTTCACTTACTCAGAAGAATGAGATGCCCAAGATAATTCTAGAGTTGGCATGGGCAAGCGGGAGCAGAAGAGCGACAGGATCTTCTGGGGAAATACAGAAGTATTTGTAGTCATTAAAGAACAATCCCCTATCCTTCCGTAGTTGAACTTGCAAACCCTATGTTGTTTAGCAAACGAATATGAAATCCACTGGCAAAGTATATACTAGCAAAGTATCTTTTCCATTGAGTAGCTCATCCACAGGCCCCCAGCTTCAATTATTGCATAAAAAGAAAAGTTTATAGTGTGTGTGTCGGAGGACAACAGAAAGAGAGAGGATGGTTTGGTGTAGTTAAGGCATTTCAGTGCATCTGTTAAGAACTAGATTCTCTGCATCTGCCCTAGAGCCCCAGTGTGAGACAGGAAAAGTCACCTAAACCAAAATTTTCATAGGTGATCACTGATCTTTTTTCCCATACTTTTACGAAGGCTAGTTACTGTCCTTGCAAACTTAATGCTTGATTTCTGAGGGCAAAACTGTGTAGTGTAAAATAGGCCATAGTCTCTTCTAGAAACTGCTAAATGTCCTACCCTCCTTTTCTCTCATTACTACTTTCTTCCTAATCATGAAGTTTGTTGAAGTTTGCTTTTTGAAATCCATTCTCCTGCTGCATTGCTTTTTTTCCTTGTCTTTCCTTTGAATTGTGATTTTTAGTTTTGTGATTGTTTTCCTCTAAATTGTTTACATTCAGAATTTTAGCAAGTGTCTTCCTTTAAGTGAGTCAAATCTTATTGGCATTATAAGGTGCAGTCATACCTGCAAGTAATATGAGGTGGTATTGGATGATTATATGCCCCTTATGTGACATCATGTACCCTGTGTGCTATTGTTGCTTTCAGTTAAATGCATAAACTAAGACTGTTAGTGGTAACAGTATGTATGGATTGCAACATCTTCAGCACATTGATGCTTCTTAACTATTTTCTGTGTTGTATAACTTGGGTGGTTAAGGTAATTGGCTTTCCAAGTTTCTTGCTGAGCTTTGGGTTTGAAGGCAGGCAAATTAGCTTCAACTTAATCTAGCCAGCATTGAGGTTATGTTAGTCTCTTATGGGAAACAGCTGGAAAATATGGCAGAAGTGATGGTAGTAACCAAGTGTGGGAACACTTGATCAGCTTTTTTACTCAGGTCTGTAATGTAGGTGTCCTGGAGCTCCACTGCTTCTGTATGCATTGGTTTAGTGCTTTACATTATTTGTCCAAGAGCTTGGAATGTTTTGGGTTCTAATTTAATTACAGTTGTGTATATCTTTTTCACCTATCAGAAATTCTGTGAGGATGTCCTCCTTAAATACATTTCAGTAGTGAAATATGGTGGTCCGTTTGAGAATTTTTAATGGCGTGTTCATTACACTTGTGCTCCATGATCTTTGATTTCTTAATTGTTTGTGGTCTTTATTTTTATGACAAATATGAGCATTTTGAGACATGGAGCTTGGGGCATGTCTTAACTGGGAAAGCTGATTTTCTACCTAGAATAGCAGCAGTGGCATTCTATTTAGGCAGTGCTTAGGGAGAAGTTTTTTTTTTGTGGCTTATAATCTACCTGATTCCTGCTAATTGCTCTTCACTCAATACTCAGGTGTTTATGATGCACTCTCCTTTTGAATGGTGTTTGCAAATCAAGCTATCCTTTCCTTGCAATTCTTCTGAATAATTTGCAGTTTACCTGCTCCTGGCCTCTTATTTCACAATCTTGCAAAGCGCTCTTTAGCTCCTTTCAAAATCCTAGATCTGCCCGTGGAGTCCAGTCTTCAGGAGCAACTACATTTTCAGCTTTTGGCTGAGTAGCCAAAAGCTGCTGCTGATTTAGTTGTGACAGAGTTAAAACTGTAGCTTTTCCTTGTTTGATCAGGAAAGGGAGAGTGAGTAAGCTTTGTCCCTGCTGTATATGCAGCCAAAGTTGTGACAAAACCTTGTTTTTTCTTTACTCAGCCTTCCCGAAAAGTACATTTCTTATATGGTGTGTGGTATGTGAGAGAATATGGTAATCATAATTGTAAGTTTTATTGTTTAGCTGCAGGGAAAGTTTAAGTCTTGTTGACATTCCCTTGTCATATGTTTAAGATTCCTTTGAATTCAATGTTCAGCATTTTTATTTTTATTTTTTTTATGTTTTAAGATCATTATAGTATACCTGTATTCATGTTAAAATATTGTTAACTTCCTTAACTCCATGTTAATTTAGTCTCATTCTGGTAACTAGTGCTGGTTTAAATGTTTTCATATATCTGCTACACCTTGTTTATTTGTATTGCTTGAAAAAATTCAAAGATTATTCAGAAGCAGTTTGTGACTTCCATTTGCAACTTCAACACAGAAATAGGTCAGTCCGTACAATCTTGATATGTACATGTTTAGTAAGTTGAGATGAAAAGGCATTGTAGAATGAGGGTTTCTAGAGATCAGTGTGACCCAACCTTTTGGACAGGCATACAACAAATTAAGCTCTGCACCCTCCCAGAGTCCCGCTCCAATCTCTTTCCCCTTCCCGATCTGTTGCTTTGCTTTCTGCCCCCTGCCCTGTTTTCCCTGCTGCTCTTAGGGCTCTCTGCCCTGTGTTCCCTGCCAGAGCTGCTTCCTGCCATATTTGCTGCTGTGCTGCCTTGCTCCTCCCTGATCTGCTGTGCACCACACATGCTGCCTATACCACTTTTGGCACCCCATGGTGTAGGGTGACAACCCCTGCTATAGATAAATTGGTAAACTGAAAATTAGCTTGAAAAAAATCTGAAATTGCTTTTCAGCCTCATGATCAGACAAATATCTTCTCTGTTAAATCCACAAATGCTAGCCCTTTTATCTCATGTTTTTTGTTAGGGATTTACTGGAAGCTTTCAAAGAGGTGTTTGTTTTAGTTATAGGTACTTCTTTTTTTTATTTTTTTTAATAACTTTGATTACTGTGTTTTAGAGATATTAACCCCTGCTGCCCTTTCTGTTTCAGTTTAATTTTGTTGGAAGAATCCTTGGGCCCAGAGGACTAACAGCTAAACAGCTTGAAGCAGAAACAGGATGCAAAATAATGGTCCGAGGAAAGGGCTCAATGAGGGACAAAAAAAAGGTAAGTTCTTGAAAAGTGTTATGGTTGTTAGCCATGTGGATTTTGTGCAGAACATCAAACATGTTTTCCTAATGCACAGTACTTGTGAAGGAATGAAAATTATCTTTGTACCTACCATTATTTTACTCTAGACGCCTACAATATTTTTTTCCTGGATTTGTGTAGTGATGCTTTACAGCACAGTATATATATTTTTAAAACTTCTAATACATGCAGTCAATAATTGTTTAATTTAGAATTTTCAACTAAAAATGTTGATATTATACACCAGTAAATCAATTTTAGTTATAGTTAGTAATTTCACAATGCAGATTCTGATGATTATGTTTTTGCACTTCATTTATGGAGAGGTCATGCATCATAAAAACATTTTAAATTAAAAAATCCCTTTTCAAGAGCATCTCCTGACTTGAACCTTGCACCATTTGCGCCCTAGTTGCGTTTCTTTCTTCTCTCACTTCTTTGAATATCACTTTGCTCTGTAATTTCCCTTATACTTATCCCTTCCATCCTCACCCTATTCCATAATACATTCTATATAATAATCATACAAAATTAAAAAAATAAAAGAATCCCACAAATTTTGTAGAAACCTCTAAAAGCAAAGCATCAACAAATCATTTTCAAATAGTCACTTCACTGTGCTTTTATTATCCCTTACTTCCAGGCTATATTTGCTTTTTATTTCAAATTTTAAGCTCTTGGAGTATAGGAGGTATCTGTTTGGAACATGTAAAATGGTATTTTTATCTTTTCAACCATTTTTTTCCCCCATAAATTAAAACTTATCCTGAATCCTTTTTAAACTCTGCTGTATGTATGTGCATTCTTCAGGTAAACTAATCATCTTAGTTTGGGCGTGTGTGAAAACAGAAGTTGACAACTGTAATACTGTAATGTTGGCAAATTTTTGTAAAAGTCTTTTGAAATGTATTATGATCTTCCTGTAGATAAAGATGGCATGAAAACAGTCAGTCTGTTTCAGAATGTTTTTGATGACTTGCCAACATGTATGGATATATGGAAGCAAAGGTATATGTTAAAACCAAACTTATGAAAACTAGATATCCCCATAATTCTGAATATTAAGAGTATTATACTTTTTTCTACTGTAAGCATCAGTGTATTTTTAAATATCTACAGTAGCAGAACCTTTCTAAAAACAATCCCATTAAACTCTTATTACATTTTAGCACAAAATCTGTTCAGTAAGAAGATCTTTTGACTATTATGAATGCTTTTAGGTCCAAAAAACCTCACTCTTAATTTTCCAACTTCATTTTGTTCTCGTGATAGATTTCCTTTCTTATTTCCCTGAAAGCTTCCACCTTTACAGTAGTCGATTGCTTGTCCATCAAACACCTTTATTTTACATTTTTTCTGATCAGATTCTACAGACTGTGTGTGAAGATACAAAAAAGATTGAGAGAATGAGGTTCAATATGTTAACCAAAAGAGATGTATTGATTTCTTCTTTCAATTTTCCTGTTTATCGCCTTCAATTCTAAATGTAGAATTAAACTTCTTTTTTTTTTCCAAACAGCAAATTATAACTTTTTTTACCATAGTGCAATTCTTAAATTCTGCAAATAAAATAAGTAAATATGTAAGCAGAGACTTAAAGGGGTGTAGGAATGTTTTTGGAAGTGGGTAGTCAGTTGCAGTTAACTTCAGTAATATGTATTTCAAATCTATTTGTATGTTGCAGAAAGGAAAGGATGTCGCTGAGTTTCTCTAGACACTGCTTAGGCATGCCAAGACTTGGTCTTTACTTATGAGGTATTATGGTGGAATGATAGCTATGGCAGGTTTTAAAATAAAGTCACCCTCAACTAAACCCTAATTATCATTGTTATACTAGGAAAAACCCTAGTTGTAGATGCAACTATATTGATAAAAGGACTTTTTTGCTAGTATAGTTTATACCTGTTACCCAAACAAAATTAAATTGTGTAAAAGAACTTTTTGCTAGTACAAGTTTAGGAGTTTGCTGGCATATTTGGACAAGGCCTTTGTTTTTTATATTTGCCTCTGGCTAATAAGATGATTGGACCTTGAGATGTATGCTGTTTCCCTTTATCAGGTCTCTTCACATGTTGGAGTCGGTGGGTCCTGTGTCCTGCTTTCTTCTGTCTTACTGATTCACAGTAAGACAGCCTTCTTGGGTGCTGATGGGTGGTGGTGAGGGAATTCCACTTTTTACTGGGAGCAGCAACACGTTACTTGGACCTGGCTCCGCAGCATCTGTATAGACTGGGCACTTCAGCAGAGCTTTTGGTGTTTTTCTCTGGCAGCTGATTCAGTCAACTATTAGATAAACACCAAAAAAGCCCCATGAAAGTGCTCAGTCTGTAGACGTTGGGAAAGCAGAATCTAATTAAGACACTATCTCTTTTGGGCATGCGCTGGGCTTGGCACAGGAGCACGCTGAGTTTTAAAGCACCATTTTGGGGTTTTGGGGTTTTTTTTTCCATATCTGCAAGCAGCCCTTGTTACTAATTATATATCTGGTCTTGGCAATTCCAGCTTTGTCTCAGTATCCATTGGCTGCGTCTTCATCTCTTTATTTTGCTACTCTTTAGGTTTACCACTCTATTAGCAGCTGGCACCATTGCAGAGAACTGATCTAGCTGACCAGGAGAAGGATCCAAGGCAGGTCATACAGGAAAGTCTAAAACAGTTTGAAGTGAGGCCCTCAGGTTTACTTGCTGCGTTATTCAGTTGCCATGCAAGTACCACCGAAAAGACAAACATGGCTGTTCAGATTTGAACCAGGCTACATACAATCTTTGTTCTAGGAGTAGGAGACTTTCAGAAACTCAAAATATGTTTAAAAATTAATTTCTGTAAATAAGGTGATAACGACCTGGGTATTCATCAGATTATTTTTCATCTCTTCTCTGTTTTATTCTTTGGGTATGGAACAAGATTTAAATAAGAGTGAACTTTGCTTAAATTTCACTAATTCTTCAGTATCACCAGTTTCTAAGTTAATTACTAGGGATGCTCTTTGTGGTAAGTGCTATGTTTGACACTATGCAATAGTTTGTGGTGATCTTGCAAAGAAGACATAGAACAAGTAGGTCAGAATGCAGTATACCACAAGTTAGTTATGCATACTATGATTAATACTGACCAGCAACTATGCCACATAAATATCTATAAAGAGAGATAGTTAGCCACGTTAGCTTAAAGTCAGGCAGAAGGTAGGGTAGAGGTGCACCTCACAGACCGACTGAAATGACATGCCATACGCTTTTGTGAGCCACAGCTCAATTCATCCGATACTATGCATCTTATGCTAGAATTGGGTGAAGGGAGCTATGGCTCACAAAAGCTTATACATTTCTGATTCTGTTGGTCTATAAGGTGTTATCTCTACATGCCTTCTGCCTTTTAAAATAGTATAAATGTTTTGCTGTTAAACTGAATGCATAGAATGTAGTGATATTAGCCAATATCTATTAAATTCAAATGTGTACTAAAGATACGAAAAGTACCTTTCTTCTCCTTGTCCCATTTATTTTTAAATTACTGTATATCTGTTGTAGTTCAGATCTCTTAGCCCAGGAGTTGTCAACCATGGTACATGTACCCCCAGAGGTACTTGGGAAGCTCCTAGGGCAGGGGCAGGCAGTTATTTTGGGCCGAGGGCTGCTTACCAAGTTTTGGCAAGCTGTTGAGGGTGGCATTGGTAGCCCTGTCCCTTGACAGGTGACCCCTTATCCTCTGACCTTTGCTACCAGAAGTCCCTCCCCTTGCCCCCAGATGTATTCCTTTCAGCAAGGGGTTTTGCCATCTCAGAAGCAGAAAAATAACAAATTATATTCTAAAAAGCAAGCATCTACAGCATTCATCAATTTGATTTCAAAAAATATTTTTGTTCTGATTTACATGCATTTGTGTAGTGTACATAGAGGTGATCGGACAATAGCTTAAAATGAAGTCTTACTCTTGTATATTGTGGGGGGTGGATATAGGTTTGGTGGGGTGTGGGTATGTGGGGTGAGAGCATGTGGGTGTGTGTGGATAAGTGGGGTGTGGATGGGTATGGTGTTTGTGGGGGGAGCTGCATGCACCGCAGTGCGAGGGGGGGGGTGTGGGTACATGTGTATGGTGGGGTGTGTGTGTGTGGGACTTGGTGCACACACACACGCGCACACCCCGGCATGGCCACGTGCACTCCAGTCCGGCAATGTAGCTGGCAGCCATGTGGTGCGGGGGCAGGAAGGGAGTGAAATGGCTGGGGGGGGGTGGGGCTAGGCTGTTCAGTCCTGCTGAGGCTCCCCCTGGGTCCTACTGCCCCTGTCTCTTGTCAGCTTTGAGAGACATCCAGGGCAGATAAATATTTATTTTCTAAAATTTTTAGGGCCCTGTGGGCTGGATAGAATGGCTTTGGCGGCTTCACGTGGCCCAAGGGCTGGATTTTGCCTGGCTGCACGTGGCCCAAGGGCTGGATTTTGCCTGCCCCTGCCCTAGGCGTGTATGTGTGGGCGGGCAGGAGGGGACTGAGTGCCACCACCCTGTGCTGTCACCTCCCAGGAGCAGGGCTGTGGGGCAGGAGGGGCGAGGGCAGTAGTGCCTCTCTGTGGACCACACAGGTGCCACCTGGCCAGCTGGATGTGGGGTGGAAAGAAGCTTGCACATGGTCACCGCTGCTGCCATGCACCACCCTGCACTGCCCCTGACAGTTGGATGTGGAGCCACTGGGGGTACACTTATTAAAAAAGGTTGAAAACCTCTGCCTTAGCCAGTAATTCATCCATTAACTTCTCTGATGACTAATTTTTTTTAATTTTTTTTTACATTAAAATATTTGATTAAAAACCAAGGCAAACCTGTTTTACGTTTCACTTCCTTATAGATCAGAGAAGTGCTTTAAGTTTTCATGATTTTATTTTCAGTGATGCAGCTTATATTGAAGAGGATAACTTGTCTAAATATCAGACAGCAGACTCATACCAGTTGGTGCTCCTTTCAGTTTAAAGCTGTTCATGCTT